AGCTAGAGGGAGCTTTCAGCGGCACAAGTGACAGGTGAGGCTGTTGACAGAACTGACCGCATGAACCGACTTCCCATAATTGAAGCTTCAGTTCCGGAAATTTCCCTAAACACTCCGCGGCCCAGGGGTTTAACAAGCTTTGGCCACAGAATGGCGCGGCCTTTTCTAATGTAAGCAACCACCTGTCTGAGGCCCCGGTTTTCATCCCAGGGCAGATGTGGCCAGGCAGGACCTGAAGCCTGGTGTTTAGTTGAGAGGTTTCGGGTTTAGGTTTTGGGGTGATCATTGCGCGGTAGATTCCTGTCCTAAGGGGAAAGAAAACAGAGTTTTTGGAAGGGGCTCGGTCGGGGTGCTCTTCGACAATTCTCACGCTAGAAAAGCAGCTTCACATGCCTCAGAACCTAGTTGGCAATCTTTGAAAGTAAGGTAGCCCGGGAAACACTAGGCACATGCTTAAGGGATCATGTAATTACAAGCTACTTTGCCAACCACCATGTTGTGCTGTGCACACCGGCGTAGACTTGTGAATCTTTCTTCACACCAACCTTTGTTTTAAATGAATGAAATTAAACAGCAGCTTCTGAGAATCGTGTTTGACTGAAGTAGCCCCACGCTGCAGTCATTGGGATGCTGCACGCTGCGACAGCAGTTGTCATCATGCAAACATACCTGGCTATACGAGGTAGGTAGTGTTTCCCTTGGCCAGCCCTAACACAAAAGCAGTAGGCTGATTTTTTGAAACAGACCTTTTCGCAAAGGAATCCGCAGAATCCACAAGTAGTTCCCAAAGGAGAGCCCTAAATCATCTTCCAATTCCCTCATATCCATTGGGTCCCTTAGGCCCCCCCTTTTCATAAACCTCTGCATGGTGCAAGGCAGCCGGCGAGCAGTTCACTAAGAGAACATACGACCTCAGTGAGCGACACTCAGAAGCTTCTCGCAGCTAGCAGTTGTAGAGTTCAGGTGAGGGTCAAGGCAGGTTTTTCCCATATGCTTAAAGTCATGTTGTGTTTTGGACCTTTGCATTCCAAGTCAGCTGCCCAGTACACAGTTTGTGTCAGGCAGTAATTTCTGTCCTGTGGATGCGCAATCACGCTGCAATCCGCTCATGCAAGCATGAGGCAGGAGGACTCACAAGGTTCAGTGTTGAGGGACAAAACGCCCTAACCAGGCGTTCGTTCTCGCTTGATTTCTCAACACTTGCAATACTGTGCGAAACAAACGCCGATAGGATGTACCATGTAGAATATACAGAATAATCTGAAAGCCTGGCCCGCTAAAAACGCTGTATGTGAGGTCGCCACACGAGCAAACGATTGTGGGCGTGTAGACAAACAGTGCTTTGTTTCTGAAAGTGTCTTCATCACACCAAGCATCTGGTGCAACACCACGCGCAAAGGATGTTCGTCAGCGCTGAAAAATGCTCACATTTCGCACCAGCCAACGTCCCGTCTGGTCTGGTTTTATGACAAATTAGCATGTAGGGCGGAAACTGCCGCAATCAGTAGCTTCTATTGTGGGATCCCGAAACCAGATCCAGAATGTTAGAACAACTCCTATGTGCCATTTGCTGCATGCATTCGTTGTCTCGTGGACGTAACTCGCTATGTTTATCTTCGGCTTTGTTTTGAGCGCTGCTGTGGCAGTTGTGCTTAACAAGCAGTATGCACACAGGATCCTGTCCTGCGAGCATGGCGACCCTAGTCTTATTATTGTGAGGATATTTAGCTGCCTTAGCAGCGTACAGAACTTACATGCAACATCGTCAACAGCACAACTCTGAGACGAAACGGATTTCGAGAGGCCTGATGACAGTTGAAGCTACTACTGACTGATGAAGGCAAAGCAAGAGAAGTACATACCGTTGCTTGCAGTTGCGTCAGCAGTTGTAATGAGATGTGTACCACTGACAGCTGTGCCTTTTGCAGCCTGTGAGGGGATGCAGATGCATATTCTGGTGGGTTCCTAAACGATGCGATGAGGCACCAGCAGATGATGCATGTCTGAGAGGAGCCACCACCAAATAGTGTGTTCGTCTCACGTGTGGCTGGTCTCCGCTAGCATACTTCCAGTCTCAGCCGGTCCCACTGTCTTGTACTGGAACGAAGGCTTGTGCCCCCCTGCAGGAATTGACAAAGAATCAGCTGGGGTAATCAAGAACTCATATGGAGCGCAGGGCGGAATTTCCATTTGAGACCCAGTAGGGTGACTGGAGTATGCCAAAGATCATTTAAGTGCGTTGGCTCTGCTTGTGCCCTTTGGCAAACTGCCGCCCTGAGATGAGACATGGCAATAAACGTTTCTGTGACATGGCACGGCAAGCACGCCTTGGCTGTTAGTATTGAGAGCACACGCGGAAGAAGACGAAGAAGAAGAAGAAGTAGTCAAGCAGCTGCCGAAGTACTGGAAGAAGCATTAGCGGCAGTATTGGCATGTGCAGAAGAGGCAGTTTGGCTTGTACCACATTAACTACACTACATCCACTGCGTTTCTAGTTTCAGCAGCATCAGGAGGAGGAGGAGCAGGAGGAGGAGGCGTAGGGCAGCAAGCAGCAGTAGAGAAAGAGCTAGGAGCAGCAGCAAATGCATGCAATGAGTAGAGAACCTTGATGGTAGCGCTTCTGCGTGAGCCCAGATCATCTGAATCTCCGCATCTATTGCTGCTTCTTTTAGAATTAGCGGTAGCATTCATCTTTCTACCGCTACCGAATAGACCCAACCTTTCCAAGTGAGGAGCTTAAGACGTCTGCCGCAGAGGCAGAGCAAGGGTGGCAGCAGAGCTGTATGAGTTACCATATTGAGCCGCAAACCGTGAAGATGTGCAACCTCACCCTGCAAAACACAAGACTGCTATTGGAGGAAAAACAGTACTCGCAGTAGGAGAGGTTTAGATTTTCTGGATTAATGCGAAGCTTTAGAGGAATCATTTCCAACCTGCTGTTGTTTCAATGTGAAGTTTCTAGGGGCAAGAACCCCCAAAGGATGGTTCCTCAACTTGTAATCAAACTGATGCCTGACCGCCACGCCAAGCCCATTGATTTGGTAGACATCATATACGGAGTGGGTTCGATATGTTTCTGGTGGAGCGTCCCGCGATGTTTAACAAGGTCTAACATCAAATTCGCAATGCCCAGGCGATTGTTTTGAAATGAAGGGGATGTGCGGTGCGACGGATTTACCTGTCATAGAGGCTCAGAATATTTGCCCAGTGAGGACTCGCCCACCATACCAATTTCCCCTGCCTGTTTGCGGCTCTATGTAAGAGGGCAGCCATTCGAAGTGCAATGCATGCAAATATTCAGAGGAGCTACCTTGCTGGTGCCGGAGGTCAGTTTGAAGAAAAAGCGCGTGGAGCGTAGGTTGAGAGCACGAAGCAGTAAATGGCCGAACAAGCCTTTGCCAACTTCTCTTTCTTGGTTTCACCATCACATGCCTGCCATGTGTCACCCATTACTTACTGCCCTTGGATACCCACTTTTTCCAGTAGCCCAAAAAGTTAGGAAGGGCTGGGGGTGTTTACTTCGAAGTCTCAGCCCCAAAACCTACAGAAGAGTGAACAGCAGCATCATTCATTCCATTCCCATGTTCCAACTTTGAAGCTTTTGTGGTGATGCGGTGATACCAGTGGGAAGCATTTCATCTCGTGTAGTTTGGCTCCAGCTTTCACAAGGAGTGTTGCCTCAAATCCACATCTCAAAGAGAGGCGGTAGGCAGGTTGGAAGCCATCTGAACGCGCCAGCCGCAATCAATCAGGCGGTAGGTGAGGGATTTTGGAAACATGAGGGTAATCCTCAGGATTGTTCTGCCTACTTGTACCCAGGCTGCCTGAAGATAACCCTAGCTTCAGAACCCCTAGGTCGTGCTACGGCCCAGCGGTGCGTGCACGGCAAGTATGGCAGTGAGCAGGGAGCTCTCGAACCCGTCGGGTGTGGACTCGCTGGGCACGGAGAGCAAGTTGAGCAAAACGTTGTCCATGCAGGCCAGTGGTTTGGACATCCGAGCCCCCAGGTAGCCTCTAACGAGCCGCCTCAGACTTTTCGACATTTTGTGAGGCAATGATGTTTAGAGAATCCCTGAGGTTGATCCAGACCTGCTGCAAGGCGTTCCGTTGAGCGCTTGCCTTCGTGGCTGGGGCATACACTGGGGAGATAATAGCCAGGACAGAGATTCAAGATGGACCGTTTGCGGAGGGTCAAGACGCGGGATCGTTGGGATTGGGATCCAGGGTGCTAGATGGACCCAACTATTCTCTTTGGACCCTGCAGATCGCCAAGGTCCCTGCCCTCGAATAAGCTGCTAAAAAATGCTTTTCTCTTCTGTCTCGTTTAACTCCTCATATCGGGTAATACGGGAAACCCCGAGAACCAATACATCCCTTTGATCCCTAAGAGAGCCCTTGATTCCTGTAGTGCTGTGATTCTGGGGCTCTTGGGTGCAGGATGTGCTCCACTTAGGGATCCTAGAGCCTCAACCCCAAAGCTCTAAGGCCTAAGCCCTGAAAGGACTCTCCAATGAGCCAGAGAGTTGAGAAGTACAGCAACTTCCTCAGCCATGACTCTGAATCAGAATTGGGAAAAGCATTTCCATGTTCAGACCTCAGGAACTTCAGGCCTGAAGGCTTTACCACATGAAAATGGCTATGAGTGCATCAAATATAGCTTTCAGACCATCTCAATGATTCCCCAGGACTGGGGTACATCGCGGTGCTTGAAGCTGGCTGCCTTACTGGTGATATTCAACAGCCGGGCTGCCGCTGTGGCCAGTCTGACCATGAGCTTACTGATAGGAATTCTGCGCATCAGCGGTGCCATACCAGACCGCCTTTGGACGTGCTTCGCAGGACGTGTGCTCTGAAAGGAAGTTGGGTTCAGTTCCTGTACTCAAAAACAGGATCCAAGATTAGTTTTGAAGATCATCCAACCCCGCTTGGCAGGACATGTCACATTCCTCGTGGTTCTGTGCTTCTGGCAACGGATCCGTGAAGTTGTTCGTAAGCCTCGGATGGTGTTTATGGACAAGCTCTGCATTCCACAGGAGGACGAGGCCCTCAAGGAAACTCGGATCCAACAGAGTTTAATGGCTCTTGGTCATTTCATTTCACTTAGGATTAGATAGCGCAGGGGAAGACTTCGTCTCTCACCTCCTGCTAGACTCGAATGATTGAAATCCCACACTTTCCACGTGTTCCGCCCCATTATCCCAACTACAACTTCCCTTACTCACTCCCAATCAGAGAGTCTTGTCCAATCCCAGCTGTTCCTCCAAGGAATTGTGAGGCAATCTCAATCGTCCCCCACAGACGCCGTGCTCAATCCTGACATTCTCTACGGAACTCCCCTAAAACCTTAGAGGCCGTTCAGAGCTCTGAATCAAGCGAAAGCCCCAAAACCCAACTCTTGGTCAACTTAGGAACGGGGCATCTTGAGCCTACCCGGCTTCCTCCATCGCTCGGAAGAGTTGACCATACTCTGGTCAGAGAGGTACTTCACAAGGTGGACCGCTAAGGTGTTTCTCACAGCAATGCCTCTACAGTCAGTCCTCCATTCTACATCCCAACATAAGGTGATCCTTGACAAAGGGGCCCGCAAAAAGTGGCATTTAATCTTGCGACTGCACAGTCGGAATCAAGACAGGTTGTTGCAAGGTTTCGGGTGTAAGGTTTGGCGTGGATTTTGGGTTGATGTTTGTCCGCCGGCACGTCAGGAAGTGAGGGACCCACAGGAATCTGTTATGTTCTGTCCTGTTCTGTTTGAGTACCTTAGCAGGCTGTTCGACCCCAAATGTGGCTGAACTTTTGACAGCTATGCACAGGTTGTGGTGTACTTGTGAGCTCATCACATTCCTTCGTGACCCGAAGAAACGCCAGCGAGTGCAAGTGTCCAGGATGCTGAGTACCAGACTGGTTTGCTTTCTTTTTCTGGGCTTCTCTGAGATCCTCAACCACTCGGTCCTTCAATCCTTATGGCCAATCCTAAGCCAACCTCAAGCCAACTTGTGAAACATCAAGGTGGTCCCAGTGAAGCTTTGCCTGCTTCTCTTTCTCATGTCCATCTCTTGGCAATTTCTGGCAGCAGGCTACTACGTTGCCTACCGGGAACGTAATTCCTTGTCTAACACTCTGTAGATCTTGAAGGCTACGTTTGACGTACACTTGTTCATGGACGTCTGTTGTTCACAGCGACCAGGTCGATGCCAGTGCTCCAGGTACATCAGTAGCTGCCAGGGCTCTCTTCCAGTCCGTGGCCTTGTTCGTCCTTCCTTTGCAAAACTATGTCGGCTTATGCCTCATGGCCGAGATCCAAGATCTTCCCAAGCAGTTGCAAAGCTTCAGCATTCGTGCTTCTCAGACTGCACATAGTCGTAGCAGCGCAGCATAAGACTGTGTCTGACCTTAATCATGCTTGCATCGTGCGTAGTTCATGTTGCTGACTCAGACGCCTTAGTATGTGATTCAGAGCATGCTGAACCGCTGTCTGCTGCATAACATGAGTCGCCAGTTTTTTTTGGGCGAGTATACCCCCCTATTTAGAGGAAGGTTACATCTTCTACCAAGAAATCTTAAACAGATGCTTCTCACAGGTCCGCAACAGGCCCTCTCCGGCTTAGGGCCTCAGTGTGCAGCAGCCGGCTAGGTAGATGTTTCTGACAAGTTGGGGCTAGGCAATGTGCGCCTTGCGGTTGTTTGAATGGTTCGTGCATGTTTCTTCTGAAATTCTGGTACTCCACACCGCTGCAACGCTATGTGCCAAGCAGACAATACCTCAGGGCAACTGGAGCCTGAAGAAGGCCATAGATTCTTTGTATGTCCTTGCCCAACAATACATTCTCGGCAAGGATCCAATATATTGCTTTGGATTTGGAGGTCTTAGGGCTTGGGGCTTAGGCACGATTTGCTAGCCACTGGCTTGGACGCGGGGCTTATGAGGCTGCTGAGTGCGGCTGCTGCACATCCAGCCATGTGAATCCAAAGACCGGCGCGAGTGTCCTGACAGCAGTCTGCCATGGTGTACAATCTAGATGACAACAGGCGTAGTCAAGTCGCTTTGGTGATGCAAGGAAGGCACTTGAGTTGATTCTTCAGGCGCACTTGGTAAGCTGGCCTGTCCCAATGTCAGTGCAGAGGATCCTTGGGAGGAAAATACAATTGTTCCGGGATACACTCGGATTCAGTTGGAGATACTGCGCACCCGTACGCCATAGGCCTAGACAAGGTCAACGCATTAAAGCTTTCCTGGTAGATGTGATGGCAAGATTCGGCCCGCGTGTGTTGGATGCTCTAGGACTTGGGAGTAGTGGGAGCAGGATGAACATGGCCGTTCCTAGAGACAGGAAAGCCCCACGCATAACCCCCCGAGCACCCCCATCAAAGGCCAAGCCCTAAGCCTTGAAACCCAGAAATCCCGACACCTCAAGGCATCCCGTGCGATCGAAAACTGGTTTTCGAAGCGCTGGAGCGCTGGTATGGGAGAGTTGGAGCTTCTCGTTACTGCTTAGTTGGCAATGAAGAGGGGCTAGTAGCCATAGCCAGTATAGAAGAGAGACCGCGTAGTTTAGCAGTCAGCCGTAATTAGTAGTAACCACATGCACAGCCTTGATTGCCTCCGTTCCTTTGTTCTCCACGGAACTAGAAGTCAGGCCACAGAGGAGGAGTACCTTGCCTACTTCGACTCTTTGGTTCAACAGCAGGAGTTGACGGGCCGAGTTCTGAGCGGGATACAGGGATCACTTCTTCCTTTCAAATATGTCCTTTACATGGTTACGAGTGCCAACTTGCCTTTTGTTTCTGATTACATGTCTAAAATTGCTGCTGGTCCGGGAGAACGTTTGGCAGAACATCTGGTGGGATTTGACATCATGATTTGGAGCATGCGCATCTTCTTTGACTGGCTCAACTTCTTCCTCGTCATACTGCTTGCCGTGCAGCTGAGCATGCTGGTTTGGAAAGGGGGGGCTTGTTGGAGGTACTTTTCCCGCCGTTGCTTGGCATTTCTTCTGGTACCTCCGACGCTGGCGTTTGCAATGACATGGGAGCCCTATCGTAGTACCATGTCACGGACGCCATCAAATAGCCTGCTGCCTCTCATTCCATTCACTGCCCTACTGTTCATCAACTTGGTTTTTTTTGTGCCACTTAAGTGGGTCACAAGCTGCAGCCGTCTGGAGACACATCCTCATAAAACCCCAGCCAGGCTGGCCATGCCAGCAGAGCATGAGGGTGAAGATAGCCACGGTGTACCAGTTGAAGCTGCAAGCTCGCGTGACCTTATTTCGTTGTAAAATCTGGTTAGCTCATTTATGTGACCCAGATCTTCCTACCATTAGATCTCTCACCGGGTGCCCGCCAGAGGTGAGGCATCGTGAAGAGTTGCCAAGTGTTTGTGTCGTGCAAAAGCTTGTGTTTTTGAGATCCTGTTCGAGGTTAGTGCTAGTCTTTTCTTGAAAATGCTCTTTGAAGCGATGCTGCTGATGATGCTGCTCAAGTGTAAACTGTCATCAGTTGGACGGAAGATAGGAAGTATTCCCTACCTGCTGCTGTATTGCAACCGGTATGGATGTGAATGCTGGCTCAGCAACACTCCAACTTCACCACAAATTACCTCTGCCGCTGACAACGCCGCCACTGCCACCGCCACCGCCACTACCCCTGCCGCTGCTGATACCACCAACCCTTTCCGCCACCACCACCGCTGCCACCACCTTCACCGCCGCTGCCGCCGCCGCCACCACCACCACCACCGCCGCCGCCGCTCCTCCTGCAGCTGCTAGGAATACTAGGACTGCTCCTCCTGACTCCTCCGCCTACTTTGGCAACCCCACCGATTCCAACTTGCTACGATGATGACGACGACAATTATGACGGCTGCTGCTGCTGCTGCTGCTGCTGCTGCTGCTGCTGCTGCTCCTGCTGCTGCCGCCTGGCTGCGTGCTGCTGCTACTACTTTCACTGTTGCGGTCCATTTTCCTCAGGATCACGGCGGCATTGCAAGTCTTGTTCTTACACTTGATGCCTGTCTCCCGCAAGCAGAGTGTATGCAAACTTCAAGAACTCGACATCCTTTCCAGCAGGCTATACTTTGACAATGAACTGAGTATGCTCGGTGAGTACATAATAGGGTTCCGCATTAGTTGTGGCTTCTGCGGATTTGCTGCAGCCGGAGCCATGATCAAGCGTGCGCTGGGCCTCTTCGCTGCTTTTCTGCAGTCTATATAGAATCCTGTATGCGCACAACCCCATTTCAGAACGTGAAGGCATTTCACAAAAGATCTCACCGAGTCACATATTCCCCGGCTTAAAGGCACGAGCAGCAGAGTACTGCAGGGATTTTCGAGATTCGGGGCTTTCATCTGGTGAAGAGTTACGCATTGAGAAAGCAGACGAGCGTCGACATCACAGCTTCCTTTGTTTGCTTAGATGTTCTCTGGGTTGGCTACACTATTAGGAGTTTCATGGTTACGGATAGTACTAAAGCACATGTAACCACATGTAAAAAGGCCTATAAGCATTTACAATTGTTATAAACATTTATGATGTTTGCAAAAACTACAACTTAATTAATGCTGACTTGAGGAATTTCAGCATAGAGATTAGCCAAATTAGCATTTTCACAATGGCTTTTATCCACCCAAACGAATGAAGCATGACGGTATTCTCAGGCTTTTGTCATTCATAACAAACAGCCCGTGTGCTGCTTATCCTAGGGACTCCGTTACAAACGAAGGCTTACTAGCACTTGGGGATATGATCGGAACAGCCTGTCTCCGTACCTAGCCTTCGGTACCCTAGGCCCTAGACTTCTTGCGCTAACCTGTGAGACGCGACATGATCCCTAGGCCGGCGAGGAGGGCCCTGCAGAGGAGGAGGACTCAGAGGAAGCCCTGGAGCCATCCCAGCGACAGCGCTTGGAGAGGCAGACACTGTGTCATTTAGCCTCTGTGGAGGAGAAGAGGTGATGAGCCTACTGGTGCAGTGGGTGGGGCGGGGGGGCCGCGGCGCGGAGAGTGGGCGTGGCGGCGTGGCGGTGGCTGTTGCGGTAGTGGTACAGGCCGAAGACCCAAGCTTGGTGGCTTCAGAGTCTAATTTTGAAAATGGTTGCTTGCTCGTTCCATTGTAGGCGGAAGCTGGAGGACAAGGAGCAGATATAGCTAAGTGTAACTATCTTTCTCCCATGGTATGTTGCGGTATCCCGTGTTCGAAGCAGCTACAGCTGAAAATCACCCAAGTATTTGTGCTTCCAGGCGATTACTGCCCGGAGCGCGTCGAGGCGCTGTGCTTAAGAAGGGGTGGGGCTATGTGCGTACGCTGCAACGGCCCCTTGATGTGGTAGAGCCAGAATGTCAGGCACAAAGAGAAAAGACAGCGACGAGGACAGAAACTGCAGTGGCATGCATCCTTCAATGCGTCAGCTTCATGTACAGCCTCTTACTGCCGATGGTCAATTTCACTGCAGGCCTACATGCAGGGTTGTGCTGAACTCAGCAACCCTGCGTCATGGTGGAGCCCTCCATATTCGTTTTCTGTCATTGAATTGTTTCTTCTACTATTTCTCTACTACGACAACTAGTAGGCTGCTGCTACCACGGCTGCGTCCACTAGTACCGCTGCCGCGACTGCCCCATAGAGAGCCATCATCAGTTCACAGCACGAGGACACCGACAGTGAATCGGACGATGAAGATCCTCCTGCCGTACTAGATACAGAAAAGGCAGCCTGCTCAAACTCAGCTGTCACCATGAATGAAGCTCTGAGTTGTCATGCCTTGTGGCAATTCTACAAAAGCAAGTGGAATCATTCCAACAGCGGGCCGGGGTGAGGTTGCGAACTGGAGGCCGCATAAGTGAATCGGATTCAAGCCCACTCAACCACTTGCAGCGGTTTGACTGCAGTCGCATGCCTAAAGCGCTCGGCACCTGTATCCAACCTGACAACGTGCGCGCTCTTTATTCAATCGAAAGCGTCAGGAAGAAAATTTCCGGGGCCAGTTCCACTGCCAGCTCTGTCCTGAGAAGATCCTACTGACAGAGAAGCAGTTGGAGGCCCTGCTTTCCTGTTCTCTTGCGGAGCTCTTCCTAAGGGAGGCATTCCAGATCCTACAAAAATGCAGAGGTTGCCAGAAAGAATCAGAAGGGTTTTGGCGTTTGTCTTAGAGTTAATCTGGGGTTGATGCATAGAAGAACTCCCATAGGTGCACAGCAATAGATGACTTTGAGGAGTAGCGTGATCACCCATTGAGCATTTTTTTTGCATGTAGTCACTGCTTGTGTTCTTATTGCAGGAACTCTTGTCAACAGCGCAATCCTACGCAGAAAGCTTGCTATTGCTCATAAAAAGTTCCGTGTGCTCCTTCTGCCTGTAGCCCACGAACCCCCAAGCCTCAAACCCCAAACCCTCACCTAAACCTAAACTGTGAACCGCAACACAATCTTCTTATAATCCCCCCAGCCAGCAGGTTCACCTGCAAAGCACCGCTCACAAGCGGAAGGAGCGCCACTTTGAAAGGGCCAAGGCTGGCTACATGTTTTCAACCTTTTTTGGGGGGCAAAGCTTGGGTCCTTGAAAGGCTTAGCTACATATAAGCTTCCAAATCATTGGATTTTTGTACAGGAAATCCTGGGCTGTCAGAACCTTTGTCGGAGAATCAGTTTGGGCTTAGGGAACTATAGGGCTGGAATTGAGGGTACACTGATCAACTGCCGAACCCAATCTACTCAGAACCAAGCCATCTCCCCAGATGCAAAAGAGTAGGATTCCCGGTATGAGAGCTTGACAATGACCTGGATATGTGGGTTCACAAGCGGTGAGAAAAACGAGAAAAGCTTCTAGTTGCAGTAATTAATGGAGAGACGCAGACCTATGCCCCAAACGCAAAAATTTACCCCAACACGAAATGTCGAACCCTACAAAAAAAGATCGCTAAGGCCATGGGCCTTGAAGCCTACGAGGCTGAGTGCCGCGAGAGAGCGGCTGCCAGAGAGTCGCAGGCCACTGATCAGTAGAGAAGAAAATAGTGACCCTTGAACAATTGGTAGCTTAGAGGGTGGTATATTGGGGTGAACTTAGGGCTTAGGCGTGAGGAGGTCTATCGGAGTTTCAGCTTCGAGGTTCCAAACATGAGAGGGCGTAAGATTCGACTTTGATGCTATTACCATCACACAATATTCAATTTGTTGCTGGCTGGGACCATCCTGCATTATGGCATTGCCATGGGGCTTGAATACCTGGCGCACACTGTCCGATCACTTATCTGAGGGAGCTAGCATGAAGATCTGCTTTGGGGCGTTTTGGGGTTATCTTCCCATCCATGGCACACGGGCCACCAGAGCACACCCCCAAAGAAGAGCTTGCTCGGACATGTCTTGAAATCATGGTGTCCTTTGCCGGTAGCACCCCTGAAGCCTAGATGAATACGTTAAACACCTTGAACCTTCAACCGTCCATTTTACGCCCTGAGATCTGACCCCTGCATCCTACGCCTCAAACCCTGAGACTCTGCGAATGCCAATGTTACAACAGCCACAGGCCGCAGCCCAGCTGGCGGGTGCTCTGTCCAAGAAGAAGCAGAAGAATGCCGACTTCTGGAAACAACGAGGCTTGCCTGAGCACTGCGCTTCTCAGGAGGGGAAATTCTTCAGTTCTGAGATATACCTTAAAGCCCTCGATGGCTGGAATTGTGAGTTGTCAACACTTGACTTCAAGAAACATGCCAGCTACAGGGTCGCCTTCTCGACGCAGGGATATATTCGGGTTTGCCTGCGCACTTGTATGCTCCTTTCCGGTCTGATGTAGGGGCCCAATGTCAATATGGGCACGCCTTCTCCCTACTTGGGCTAATTAGCCATTTTGGAAATGCCCTAAATGGCCTGAACGGCCGCAAAACCCTGAATTCCGACACCTTAACGGATCCCATCCCGGAGAAAGACCCAGGAAAGCTGCGGAAGAAGGCCAAATCTGGTGCCTGCGTGGAAGGAGGCGAACAGACGCCGAATCAGCCTCCCGAGACCGCAAAGCGCAGGAGGAAGCCAAAATCGGATTAGCAAAGCTCTGGGGAAATTGATGCAGCTGCAACTCCAACGGTTAGCATGCTTAACAGCGGCAATGAAGATCAGAAGGGCAGAGATGGAGAATGTTAAGGAGAAGCGTAATGACAGCTGCCCCAAGAACGACTTCCTCTAAAGAATCGTATCTTTTTCATTGACGCGGCTGCTGAGGCATGTGCTTGACGGTTGCTATTGTTTGCTGGTCGGAAATGGGAGGCTACGACACGTAAGATGCGTTGCGTAAGTTGGTCCCCCGAGCCGCCGCGCAGATAGTCAAGGAGAGATAAACTGGGCCAGATGTGGGGGTCGCGCGACGAAAAATCTCTCGAGATTTCGAAGTATTTCTCTCTTTGGCTGTCTGCGCGGCGGCTGGGCGAAACGTGTAGACCCGGGGCAGAAGTCTAAAATCCTTCAGAATCTATAGATTGGTTATTTCTGGTTAGTTGCGGTCTTATATATTGATTATTCATCGGATTTAATATGCGATCTTATTTGGTTCGCGTGATTTATCTCTTTGGCTAGCTACGCGGCTACTCGGGGGGAGCGTATAGACTCGGGATGGAGAGTTAGAATTTTTCAGAATTTATAGATTGGCCGTATCTGTCCACGGGGATTAATGCGTCTGCTCGATGGTCTAAGAGAGATAAATGAAGCGGAAAGACCGGGCCGGATGCGGCGATTGTGCGAGCGAGAAAAATCTCTCGGATTTCATATGGTTTTTTTTTTTATATGTTCCGCGTGATTTATCAAACTTTGATTATCTACGCAATTGGTCGGGGAGCGTATAGTCCCTGGACGGAAAACCAAATTTTTTAGCAAAAGGGAAATTGGCTATAGCTATCTACGAGGTCGGGTCGGATGCGGGGGCTGCACGGCCGAAGGTCTCTTGAAAATTCGATTTATTTCTCTCTTTTGGGTTATTTGCGCGGTCTTATTGGAATAAGTCTGTTGCAACGTAATGTGTTAGATAGAGAGATCTGAAATCTTCTTGAATTTATAATTAGGTCTTTTGCATATTGATTATTCAGCAGACTTCTCGTACTATCTTTTACGTCATTTGCTCAGCAGGCTTAATATATAGAGATTTTTCGAATAAATATAATTTTATTGATGTAGGTAGAGGACTAATTCTAATATACTAAAATTGAATGATTGAATAACAACTCATGAATTTCTTTATCTTTTAATTTTATTTTTCTTCATTCTAATGAATTTCTTTATCTTTTAATTTCGTTTTTTCTTATTATTTCATGATATAGAAATCTCTTATATTGATTATCTTGTTTTGAGATATAGCATATTGATGAGCTTCGCTTCATATTTAATTTCGTCGATTATAGCACTAGGTCTTCTTTTTTCTATTATGAAGCTTATCTACGCGAGCTTGCTCTCAATTTTGTTGACCATCTACATTTCAATTTAGATGAATATATATCTTTTTTCTTTCTCTTCGTGATTATCATATTTAAGATAATAGATTCGTTCTCCTAATTCTTATTTTTTATTTTATGAGATCAAATATTCAGATAGATATTTTGCCTCTCTTTTTAATGAATTTAAAAATGCGTCTTATAGAAATTCTCAAATTATATCGGTCTCTAATTTTTTCTGCCTATCTTAAATTTATCGAATTCTTCTTCCTTCTTGAAGAAAGAGGATAATCTTGACGAAAATTTCTGGATTGAGAACGAATTTCAGATGATTTATCTATATCCCTAATATACAATTTAGGAAAATCATAAAATGAGAGAATAAAACGCATAAATGAAAGAGAGACGTCATAGAAATGGAGAGGAGATTCGATAGCAAGAATAACCAAGGAAAGAATATGAAGAGAAATTTTGAGACGTTCATAAATATCAAGGATACGGCGCATAATATATATAGATTGATTGACGGAATATTAAGAATGAAATCCGAATGAAATAGAATAAATTTTATCATCAAAATGATAGGAGAATGGCCTCTGAAAAAATATGGCAATTTTCTTATATATAATATTGGAGCGATAATTGGAGAGATCATGGATATCATATTGAATCTTTTTAATGAATATGATAATTTCGGATAAAATCTAGGAGTGCGGAATAATGGAGATTCAAAAGAAATGATTAAAATGATTTAAAAGAAATAATTTCAATATATAAGGAGAATCTTTAATATATCTATTGGAATAGGATCAGGATCAGCGGCCCTATCTGAATTCAGAGAGCGGAGAGATATATTGAGCAAATAGAAGATATAGATATCGTCGTAATTATCAATATCATAAATATCATCTAGATCAGAATGATCTTCATAATCTAAATCTGCCATATCGTAAAGCTCTTATATCTGACCAGAGCTCGTCATTTGATTGGATTTCCTCCGGGGTTTCGGATTCTAGAATCTTCTATAGCTATGAAGAAAATTCCAGCGAATCGACCGACCGTAGCATGATCCCATATAATCTAGGGGAGATAGATCTATCAAAAATAATTCAAAATTATCATCTCTTCGATAATATTTGATCCAAAAAATATTCCTATCATAGAAGGAATAATCAAAAATAATCATTTCATTAGGGAACGAAAAGGAGATTTTCTATAGTTGAAACCGGAATTTGGGAATATCAATCTTAAAAAAGAATATAATTATCATTAAGAGAATGGATTAGTTTCTTCAAAGAATTAGAATCAAATCCCAGAAATTTCATTTGTTATTGATAGATTTCGATTGTTGGAAGCTACAGAAATATTAGCAAAAATTGATCTTGAGGCAATAAATATCGAAAATGAATTTATGAGATCTGAAATTATCTTCCCTTGATTTGGGGAAAAGATTGGATTGAAGGAGCTATCTATAAGAAGGAGCTCTCCACGAAAAAAACAAATCTATAATATAAATCGGATGATGAAGACGATTCTTGATTTCCAAATATCTAATATATATCTTCATATTGAAAAATATCGATTATCTGGTTGAGGAAATCATAGGGAGGAATTTTCTATGAGAAGGAATGGATAATATAAATTGATTGATATTTGGAGCTATTGATCTAGTGGCGTCTAATGGGAATCTAGCCATTGGCAAATCTAGCGGCAAATCATCTCTGGATCCAAGAAATGGGAATTTGCAATCCGGGAATGGAATGAATACAAAGAGATAGATTCAGATATTGCTGTCTTTGTTATCAGGAGCCCAATAGATAAATCAGGAGTATCTATCGAAATTATAGATGGGATAATGGGCGAAGAAGAAGGAGCTATAGCTGGAGACGTATCGTTGGCGTCAACGAGCATGATCGCGGAAAATAGAAATTTAGTTAAATCGAAATACGGCACGTCGTCCGATATATCGGATATTTAGATAAAGAGGAGAACGTCTTCAAATCTCCGATATATCGGTTCTAAAGATGCAATAGATTATATAATAGATATATTTTATAGAAATTGATCTATGAAATATTATCATAATATATTATAATATAAAGATTCCCTATCAATATTTTCTAGATCGTTTATTGAGACGACCATCATATATTCCAATCAAATTTAGATTTAATATTCTTCATACCAACAATGAGAAGATAGAATAATTCAAATCAGAATCATTCTAATCGTAAAATCATGAAATATTAATGCCCTAGAATATGATCTTTGCCCTTATGAATAATATTATATATATCGTATTTCTCAGAATTGCAAATCGAATTATATATATATAAATATTAATAGAAATATTTTCCATATTTTCTATATCTATTTATAATATATCTTCCCTCAAATATGAATTATTATCTCCTAAAGATTCTGAAATATTCATGAAGATAAAAATGATATCTTACCTATATTCAGAATATACATATCAATAGATATTTAATATATATATATTAAAGATAATCTATTCCATATCCTATCATCATCAAATTAGAAGAAATTCGAAATTCAAATTAAAATCGAGAATATTTTCATGCCCGACGAGATAGAGATAAATAATTAGATATAGATAGCTCAGATAAAACGAAATAGAATTCAATGAATATTTATATATAATTAAATATAAATAGATAGACGACTAGATATAATTATAAAAGAAAAGATAATCTAATATATCAACGATTAAGAATTTCATATCTTTAAATCATATTCTTAATTTTCATATCATATATTATGAGATATAATTTATGACGAGAAATAAATGTTTTTTCTGCATATGACGAATCATAGAAGTTTCGAGAATAAAATATTTTCTATATCTATATCTCAGAATTCTGATGAAATAAAATAATCTATAAATTTTAGATATTCAATCCCATATCCTCAAATTTTTCCAATATTCAAATTAAGAAAATTTATATCGCCTAATGAAGCTTCTGAGATAATACACAAACAAATTCTCGATCATCTAAATCAATATGATATCGAAAATCGATACGATTAATTAGAAAATCTAATAATAATTAATCCGATAATATTTCATAATTTAAGAAAAATTGATAAGATAGAAATATCGAGAATTTAAAATTCAAAACATAAGCAAATATCAAAATTTTTCTATAGTAGATATATATCATCTTTTAGATTCATCAATCTAATAAATCTCATTAGAAATCAAATATAAATATAGAATATGAAAGAGATATCTATAAACGCGAATTGATTTGCAAAATCATCTATTAAAGATATAGGACTAATCAAGCAAACAAATCTCCAAAGAAATTAAAAACGAAAATATCATCCCAAAAAATAGAATAGAAGATTAAATAAAATCTTAATGAGATATGCAGAGATAGATATTTTTTGACAGATAGATAGAAAATGATAAATAGATAATATCTATAGCCTTTCATAAATAGATAGATGAAATATGAATTCGCATTAAAATTTCAAGATCTTCTATTTCATGTTCGTTTGATTTTCCTTCCTTTTCTATTCTATTTTTCTCATATATAATAAATGTATTAATTCCTTTTTTTCCAAAGTCAAATAACCGTATCTTATATCCAACTGATGAAT